GCGGGCGGGGCGCGGGCGGCGGCGGGCGGGGCGCGGAGCGGCGGCAAGGGGCGCGGGGTGCGGAGGCTGACGTCTGTTGTGGGGTCTCCTTATTACGTCGCCCCTGAGGTGATGTTTTTTTGTTGTTTTGGTCGCTGTTTCGGCTTGTGCTTCTTCTGGCGTTTTCCACGGGACGACATGGATATTTTGTGGAATGCGTGCTACAGCAGTAGTGCATCCCTTCTGGAATCCGACTCTGTGGGAGGTTGGGCTGTGGGCGAAAGGGAAATTGGGCACCAGACGTTTTGCTGCGGGATACTCGTGCACTCGTCGGTGTCTGCCGGTGTTTTTCACTTTTTTTGCGTGTGCACATTCAGCTTGCGTAAAACACATGCTAACTACTGCCCCAGCGGTGTTGGGCACACGCTCCGCAGAAATTGACGCATCCGGACGTGCCACACGTCCACGTTCCTAGAAATACCGGAGGTAGTTGACAGTTGACGGCGACGGACGAAACGAAAACATTGTGAGTGCAATTTAGGACCTTGGCTCTCGGCCGAGCGCCCCGTGTCCGCGTCTGAATCGCGCCCTGTTCCCCCAACTCCTTGCGCTGGTGATGTCATGGTGTACACAGGTTCTGCGGGAGGAGAGCGGCGACGGGTATGACGGGACCAAGGCAGACGTGTGGTCCATGGGCGTCATCCTCTACGCGATGCTCGCGGGCAACCTTCCCTTCGAGAAGGAGCTCCTGGCGTGCTCCCGCTTCGCCAAGTTCGGCGCGTGGGCGCGCATGCCGTCGGCGACGGCGTCTCTGCTCGCGCACTGCTCAGGCAACCCGAAGGACGCCATGGACATGGACTGGTCAGTTTTTGTACTACTATCCGGGATCACCTTGAGTTTTTTGCCCGTGTGTTGTGTTTTTGAGACGCAACCGAAGAGGCCGGACAACGCGCGCGTAACGTGCATTGCGGGGACATGTCTGTTGTGATCAATTGTATGTTATGTTCCTTGGGGGTTCCATGAGGGCGACCTGGACGTGTTCGTCGAAATCCCGCCTGAGATTTTCGACGTACGCCAGTGGTACGCGCCCGCGCCTTGTTTGTTTCCATCCGTGGTGTTGCGAGAGGAGGACCCCTGCTTTTGCGGCTTACAGTCCCTTTCGCGTGTGTGCCCCGTTTTCCCGCCTGGTACCATACGTGCTGGACAGCTTGGACTACCCCTCGTGGTTTTTCCCGCAGCACTTCAGCTTCGCCGCCAGGTCCTTGCTCTCCGGGCTGCTTCATCCCGATGCTTCGTGCAGGCTGTCCGTTCGTCAGGTGAGGTCTCTCTCTTCGTGGATGTTTGTGTGACTTGCCAGTATCCTTCGCAAGGAGTTGTTAAAGCTTGGTTTTAGTAGGGGATACGTGGTGGGGCTGGGGGTCAGGGTTGGGGAAAGGAACACGGAACCCCCCCCTCTATTTCATAGATTAAGAATATAATCCTCGCTAAAGCGGGTCTGATTTACAGGTTTACGGGATCATTTTTTGCCCAGGGCGGGACTTGTGGACTAGCGGGTTTAGTGGAACTCCAACGGATGATTGTTTGCGTGCCCCCAAGTGTGTGCCATGCAACAACAGTGTCGGGACATGTGCCAGTCAGGATCAATGCTCTTACCGCTTGGCGTGAAAACGTTTCTTCTTCTGCCGACATTTAGCCTTACCGACAACTTTCTGCCCCTCATGCTGCTCCTCCATGCCCGTTCTAACGCGCCAGGCTCTGCGACACCCGTGGGTCTTAGATGGGAGGCTCTACTCCGGCTCGGGCGGCAGCAGCAGTGACGGCAGTGACTTCAGCGCCGGCGGCGCGGGGGGGGGCGTCGAAGAGGACTGGCGAGCCCCCGATCCTCAGAACATTCCTTCGGAGCTTCTGGGTGCCGATTCCGACACAGAGGACGAAGAAGAACACGCCAACAATGGATCGCGGGAGTGGAAGGAGAGCAGCGACATTGGGCTTCACCGCCCTGGGTACACCCCGGCACTCGCGCTGCCGCCGCTGCCGCCGCCGCCGCCACCTCCGCCGCCGCCGCGGCCGGTTGTCGTTGTCGCCACGCCTCCAGAGAAGCAGAGTACCAGTAGCGTAGGGCGGAAGGGGGTAGGGGTTGGCCCTGCCAAGGAGGTGCCGGCCAAGACAAAGCGACCGTCCACGACGCCGGAGGTATCCGTGGAGCTCCGGGGTATCAGGGAGGAGGGGGAAGGCCCAGCGGGATCGAGCACAAGGCTTGGTGGCAGGGGCTCCGCGAGGGAAGGTCAGGGGCACCCCGATGCGGCGGCGGCGGCGGCGGCGGGGGGGGGAGACAGGCAGGCGTCGAAAACGACGCCCGCTCCTCGTCCGGCACCGCCACCAACTACCGCCGGCGATGCAAACCCTGTGCCATCGACGGAGGCTAAGGAGGACAACGCTAGCCGGGGGATGAAGCAGCAGCCGGGGGGCGAGCATGTAGCTAGTAGATCATCGGGAGAGGAGGAAAAGGGGGTAACGCCGAAGGGCGAGGGGGGAGTTGGCGGAGGAGATGGGAAGGGGGTGGAGCTCGAGACCACCGGCGCCGGCGGCAGACAGGTGTTGTCGGCGAGGCGAGTCAGGGTCGCCACCGAGGTTGCTGTTGCTGCGGAAGCGGCTGAGGAGGGGGCGGCGAAAGAAGCCCAGCTGGCAGCGATCACAGCGGCAACAACGACGCTGTCGGCGGCAGCGGCGGCGAGTTCGCCGCCGCTTCCGCCGCCGCCGCTCGCTCCCGTCGAGATAACGGACCCTTTCACGACGCCGCCCCGCAAGCTGCGCTCGCCGCGGCCCCTCGACGCCTTCTCCTCTCCCCCGTTAGCCCCCGTGGGATCAGGGAGGGCGGTGGAGGAGGAGGAATCGGAGTTTTCTCTCGACGCCGGGCCAGCTCTCCCGCCAGAGAAGGGGCGGGCGAGGAGCAGGGAAGGGCTACCCCCGGCGGGGCCGGGCCACGCGAGGTCAAGGGGCGAGAACTCGTCCGCCTTCTCGTTGGGCGTGGTGGAGCGGCAGCTGAGCATGGGCGTGGCCGGGATATCGATCATGGAGGCGGCGGGGCAGGCTGAGAAGAGGGACGGCGTGGTTGCGGCAGCGGCGGCGGCGGCGGCTCCACCTCCCGCTTTCCACGACCTGGTGAAGCGATCGACAAGGTTCATGACTTCGGGTGAGCAAAGCATCGGGACGGGGAGGGTTCTTGCCTCTTGTGTCTGTCGTGGGCGCAATGCAGACACTTGTGCATGTATCACAGTCGCTGTTTACTTTGTGGCGGGTGTGTGCGCGGCCGATGAGCCCGCTTGGCGCCATTTCACAATGGTCCAGCGCCATCCAAAGAATCGGAATCTTGAAACATACGGTAAGCTGGATGGGGGTTGACACGAAATGGAGCCAGGTTGCGAGTAGGTCGGGGGGGCTGCTGTAGACACGTTTGGCTCAATCGGCTCGCTCGTGTTTGTGACCCTCGCTCGCTCCCGTTCTCCGTCGCTTGTCTGTCTCGCTGGTGCCCGAAATCTCGTCTTGTCAGTGCCCGCGGCGGTTGTCCTTCGGAAAATCGCCACGATTATCAACGCGGATGCTCACCCGCTCCCCTACCCGTACCGCAACATCAAGCAGAAGGCGGTCGTTCACCAGGATGACTACAAGCTTGAGGTAGGGAAGGGACTCGCCGCCAGCGGCACACTTGTTCCCGTTTCCTCTCTTTGGAAGCGCTGTTTGCTTGCCGCGCGTGCAGGGGGGGCTGGGATTTTGTTTATTTTGGGAGAAAGACGCCGATTTATTCAGGGGGGGGTATCACGTTATCACGATGGATGCCGCTCACAGACTCTAATAGAACCATACCCATAAGTAGTAAATAGAATAGGCCACTAAATAACCCTGTGGAGTAGTTGCTACTCTATCCTGGTCTGTTCGTCTCTGGATAGAGATAAAATCTGTTCGCTGTACTCGTACTGTTTTGCAGGACTGAAAACATGCATACGGCGTGGCACAGGACCATTGCATCGTTCGACGGCTCTCGAATCGAAAACACACACCAAGGAGAGACCCTCCACGCCCATTTCTTTTCGAGCATCCACCACGGGGTTGCTTGACTGACGTGTCATCTTGTCTGGCCTTGCTGCCTTCGCCGTTTCCGGGTGTTGTTGGCAGATCATGCGGGGCGGGGTATTGGTGTGCACGGTTCAGATTTACCTGCTGGGCGGCGAGCAGGGGGCGGCGCAGTACATGGTGGAATTCCTCAGAGGCCAGGTGGGAGGCGTGAGGCGTGCGTGTTGTCTTTGTATTCCGGCGTTGCCGCTTGCTTCCAAGCGGGTTTTGTGTTTTGCGGACCGTGCGTCCGGCGCGTCTGTTGTTGTTGCTGCTGCTGCTGCTGCTGCTGCTGCTGCTGCTGCTGCTGCTGCTGCCGTAGGCCGCATGTAAGATGCCACGCCCCCGTGACCGATTTTCAAAGCTCGATTACTTTTTTGCAACAATCATCAGTGACGGTGCCGAAAAATGACAGGGGTCGGAAACTTGGCGTAGAATGCATTCGGAAAACGTGTCGTTTGGTTTTTGCATCCCCTCCCGCTTTGCCATGGAGTGTAATCGAGCTTCAAGCATTGTTTCAGTGGGTGTGGTATCTCGTGCGACTGCGATAGGCCACTTGACACGTCTGATCTAGAAGGACCGGGATATGGAAGCGACATAGTCGTGAACCGGTGTAGTGTTTCGGCAAACTCTGAGACGATGAGGCTATGGCGTGTTGTCCCGCTCGGTTTCCTTTTTGTTCTTTATTGTAGTTTGAGCAAGGCTCTCTCCTGCCACCAGCAATAGCGGCCTGCTCCAAAGATTGCAAGCTGTAAGAGACCCTCAGGCCCCGATAGATTTGTTGGTCAAGAATGCAAAATTCGTTTTTTTTTTTAGAAGTTGGGCTCAGCTGCTCTGGCGCTGCCCTGCATCGTACTTGTATATGATTGGTTAGCGCTAGCCTCTGCTCAATCGTCGCGACGCACACGCACACAAGTATCGTAGGAGCGTGCAGCTACTGTTATAAAGATGGGCGCTTGTTTTATATAATTGCGGTATTGTAGTCATGGAGTTTGAAGGGCGCGAATTTGCACGGTAGCTTTGGAGACAAAATCATTTTCGGCAGCCTATGCACGACACTGAGAAACGCTAAATACCACCCCTCTCCCGCCGCGACCCACTGCTGTGCGTTGCTTTGATTCCCCATGAACATATTCGCGATATGGACTGCCGCTAGTTGGACATATTTTTGTTCAAGCGCTTCTATGAGGACGTTCGGTGCAAGCTGAACGACCTAGTCAAGAAGGATTACAGCTTAGCCCTACTGGAATCGGGCACCTGCACGCACAGGTTCAGCCGGTTTTCGAATCTCGCCTGACGGGGCCAGGGAGAACGCTTTTGGAGTAGGTTGGTTGCCCCGTACTACTGTCGTTGTCCCTCATCCCCTTCTAGCGTAGCTGCTGAACGTCGTGGCTGGCGTTTCACTGATGATCAAATGGATTTATTATTGTTGTTTCAAGGTGGTTGGTGTGTGTGCAGAAGTCAGTGGTCACGAGGCGACGGTATCGACAAGCAGCGTGTTGTGAAGGGAGTCCAAAGAGTCCGCCCCGTTTTTTATAGAGAGGGTACACTGGTCGCCGGCCCTTCGTTTCATTTTCATCGGGGGGGGGGGGGGGCAGCTTGCTTGTTGTCTATTCACCGGTGCCCCTTTTTGCCGCAACATCACTCGTGCTTGCCCGGTTTCTACTACATATGTGTTGTTTAGTACTATCGAGATGTTGTTGTTGTTGCTGCTGTCCGCGCCCCACTCATCATCTGGCCTGATGAAAACAGTCCAGCGGCGCGCCACTGCAACGACTGAGTTGCGGGCGACGTTTGGAAACCCGGAATTTGGGACTAGGGGGGCAAAAAATCAAGCCCCCCCGGGGTGAATACCCCCATCCTAGGAGGACCCGGTCCCCCCGGTATGTTGGTTTTTCCGGGGGGGTCCCCCAATTTCCAAACAGGAGCATTTTTTTTTTTTTCTTTTTTCTTCGGGGGTCGCG